TTTTTTCATTGTAAAAAAACTTAAATATTATGAGAAACTGTATACATTTTTAGGCTATATATTTTTGTCAGTTCAGTACCTTACAACAATAACATACTAAGTGTTTTCCTCTTCCCAATGTAACATGTGCCATGGATTTGGGTGGTTTAATTTCATTTGTTGGGTCATTAGTAGCAAATTACTTCTAATATCACTTTTGGGAGCAATAAATAATGTAAATTGTTAAATACAGCTCCAGAAATAATAAAAGACCATTTCAATGTTATTGTTGTTATTGGTTTTCTGGATTTAGTTCTGTTATGTTAATCTGTGAATGTTAGCTTATGAATAAAATATCCATTTTTATGCATATAATTACTGTACATTTGTCAATGTGAAATATTCCATGTTTTTAGGGAATCTATATATAAATATATAATGATGTTTAACAGAGCAAGAAAATTTTCACAATATGTCTGATATTGTTTTTTCTTCTGGAGAAAGTCTTATTTGTTGTTTTTATTTATTTATTTATTTATTTATTTATTTATTTTCGGCTAGAATAAAAGCAGTTCTTAATTGTTTTAAAAACCATATTAAGATCAATATTATTAGCCCCTTTAAGCTGTATTTTTTTTCCGATAGTCTACAAAACAAACCATCATTATACAATATGATAACTTGCCTAATTATCCTAACCTGCCTAATTAACCTAATTAGTTAAGCCTTTAAATGTCACTTTAAGCTGTATAGAAGTGTCTTGAAACAAATATTATTTACTATCATCATGGCAAAGATAAAATAAATCAGTTATTAGAAATGTGTTATTAAAACTATAACGTTTAAAATATGTGGAAAACAGAAATTGGGGAAACAAAATAAACAGGGGGACTAATAATTCAAGGGGGCTGATAATTTTATGTTGATATGATATTATCGGCTTGTTCTCCTTATTGTTTCCCCTCTGCCATTATAAATCCCTCCCAAGCAGTTTATATTTCTTACCTAGTCCATCTGGAATATCGAGCTTTGCATTGAAAGCAGGCAAAACGACAAGTCAATAAACTAATCACATTTAGAGGGAGAAGGTCATCAGCAAAGCCTAATGGGTTTTTGATTCCACTGCAACCTGATCAGTGGGAAACTTTATTTTACAATTAGTCAGAGGAATGATCAATGCAATTGCAATTCAGCCGTGGGGGTCAATCACTTTTCTTATATTAAAATGGCATAGGATGTAAAAAATTTAAGAGGTGAAGAGAGGTCAATTGCTTCAAGCTCTTCCTCAGGTTTTTTCAATGACACTTGACCTTTTGTTTTTTGCAACTTTCTGAGAATCTCCACTGGTAATCAGCATAATGACTGGAAAATTTTTATTTATTTAGTTATTTGATACTGTAATATAGTCAGGAAAGGGTATGATAAAAAGACACTTTGTCCATAATTAAAACTCACTATTGAGAAAGACACACACACACACTTTTGTTCTCGGCCTCTTTCTAGAATATATCTAATTACTTAGAATGTGTCTAATTACATTTGCAATGAACTTGAACTAGTTTTTTTTTTATTGAGTAGCCATAGTATGTATTAAAGTTTGAATTGTAGTTCTACATTTTTATATGGCATTTAATTCTAAATTTTTTTATTCTATTTTTGTTGTATTTCTATGTCATTTATGTCATGCTTATATCATGTCATGTTGGCAACTTGTTTCAAGTTCTGGTTTTATGAAATAATATTAAGAAAAAATAAACATTAACTGAAAAGTGGTTAAAAAGTTACTTGAATTTATGTTAAATATAATGATGCAATATTGGTGACATAAAGGCCCAATCCCAATTCTCCCCCTTAGCCCTTCCTCTTCCCTTTACCACTCATTTTGCACTTTCACATAAAGAGGTAGGGGTGTCCCAATTATCATTAGCTTGAAGGCGTAGAGCTTAGGGGAAGGGCTAGATAGCCCTAAAAACCAAGGGGTACAAAAATTTCCCAGAACACACCATCTACAACGGCATCATGGCTGGACCCGGAAGTCAGGAGATGCACAAATTGGTATTTTTGTTATCGTTTAGAATTTTTACAACAAACAAGCATATGCTATTATACATTCATAACAGCGTTTGTGTTTTACCATTATTCTTTAAAAAAAAATGCTAAAATAAAAACCCCAAAATTATCTATAATCCATAATAATAACTCTTGTTAAGTAATCCCACAACATACTTTGAAATTTGACACTCGATGACACTCAAATACCCTGTCAGAAAAGTCTAGTGGCTGGGAATGAGCTTTTTACAGTGTCTGCTATAATGTTAAGCTTGTTTTTGTGTGTTTACATTGATGAATATGGCCACGGAATAAATGCACAATATAGTTGCGAGTTTATTGCCACATTTTCTCATTATGATAACTTGATATCGTTGCCTTCACTGATTTCCTGAATATAAATACTAAAAAAATAATGCAACTGGAATAACTACAGCAGTCACGATCGTTGATCTCATATGAAGCAAGAGACCATGATGACATATGATGACGTGTGCGGGTGTTTTCCCTGTTTCCAACTGGGGATACCTATCCCAAAGCCCCCAGAGATTATGCAGCACCATTGTTGCGACCATGACCTGTGAAGAAATAATGCCAAGACATTCATAATCCTGGACCAGACCGTATCTTAAGCTGATGCTATGTTGGTCATGGAGGAGTGGAGAGCATAAGACTGGTTCCTGAAAGACCACAGTCACAGACGAGTCCCCTCATTGATCCTGTGGGCCAGTATGATCACCCGCCAGTGACCTAATCACACCTGCAGTTCTCCATGATGGACATCCAGCGTTCTCCATTCTCCGGTGCCTACACTGCAGCTTCCCGCAGGAAGTTTGGCCAGAGGAGAAATGGTGGTCCCCAACTGAGCATGTTTTTTTTTTCCCCTCACTTCGTCAGTTGGTGAAGTTTCTTCCTCGCCACTGTTGCCACTGACTTGCTTGGTTTGGGACTTGTGGAACTGCGCATCGATGGATTTGCTCTTCAGTGTTTGGACTTTCAGCAGTGAAATTTAAACCATACTCAACTGAACTAAACTGGACTGCTATTCTGAAAAGACTTTACTAGAACTTCTATGTTGAGGAGCTTTGAGTTGAATTGTTGTAGTGCGGTTTTATTTCCTAGGGGAAGCCCTTCCCTTTCACACTCTGTTTCAGAGAGTAGGGGTACAAAAATAGAATTGGGATTAGGACAAAAAGTACATTAAAACAGAAAATATTATAAATGTATAGCAAAGTTGATAATTTTAAAGTTTAGAGTTTTGAGATTTTAGCTGTTTTTGTCTTACATACCCATTTACTCCTATTACTTCCAAGAGGAAAATATAGATTAATAGGGATGTAACGGTATCAGAATTTCGGTACGATTATACCTCGGTACGAATGGTACGGTACGGTATTTATTGAATAATTTACAGGAAAAACAAAACTAATGAAAAGACTCAAAAAAAGTGCCAAAAGTGTTTATTTACCTTAGCACTGAACATATCAATGATATACAAATTAGCCATCTATCTGTAAGTTTCGAAACAGGAACTTCAATTTTTTAATTTTAATAACAAAAAACTTTTAAACCATATAAAATATAAATAAAGTTTCAATTTAGTATTGTAGAAAACTCATCACATTCAATATTTAATCACGCACTCACTTAGAGATGGGGTTTTTAAGGAAAATTATCATATAACTATAATCTGGTAAAAGCTGGGATCTCTGGGCATGTCCCTTGCAACAGAAAAACAAAACCTCTCATTTGGGACTGAGGTTTCTGGGACAGAGAGATATGATTTAGCCAAGGTTGACAGCAGTGGGTAACGTTGTGCATTGTCTTTCCATTACTTGAGAGGACAAGCCATGAGTGAGATAGAGGTCTCTTTGCGGTACAAGTCAATGTCTGCATTAATCTAACAAGTGTGCTGTGTTCTGCAGTCCCCATGACTGTTTTTAGTCGTATTGCCTGACTTATATTTCACCACAGTCTGGCAGTGCCTGCATACTGTTTTTTTCTTTGTCTGTCACCTTTTCTCCTTTTTCGTATCTTTTTAGTAAGAAATCGAAATGCTTTCACACATCCGATTTAAAACCCGCTTTAGGTTCCATCATTTCCAGCTCTTTTTCTTCCCCGCTACTTGCAACACACTCCATTTCTGCATTACTGGATCTGTAGTGACAACAGACCGCAAAGGATGATGGCCAGGCCTAGGCTGATGGGAATTGTAGTTCCCGCTACCTCCCGTTCGCTTCATTCACCTAAGCAAACTTTTCTCAGAAATATAGTTTGATTGAGTCATTTGCCTACGGTAATATTGAAAAAAATTACTATTGCGGTATGATGGTATTTACATCCCTATAGATTAATTAATTATTTTTAACTAGAGCCTTTAGTGTAAAAATAAAGTCAGCTTTAAACTCTTTTTTACAGTTTTTTTTATTTTTTTATTCAGATGTCCGGCATGTGAAATAAACCTGTCAAAATTGCACACACCCTTCTGAGCATCTACATTTTTTCCTACATCATTCACTTCCTTAAATATCCTGCACAGAGTGTGTATGGTGCAGTTAGGAAAGTATTTATGAATCTGTGATCACACCCAAAGTGTGTATTAAAAAATCTTTGAAATGAAATATGTAAGAGGTCTGTCATTGCCTTTTACGCATTTCCGATATATCAATATGCCATTATAATTTCATCACAATAAAGGGCCCTTATAAAATTACTACTGTATAATTGCACTCTTCCCGGATTTGAGTTATTGACCTGGAGACTTCCATTCAAATTTACTCCCTTTGTTAAGCTTGTGACTGGACCATTGTCCCCAGAGGGGGATCTGACCACCACTGTTTGTGAATCGTTATAGGGTTTCACCAAGGGCACATGCTTTGGAAGGGTAAATAATGGAGAAAGCACTCATGGGTGCCTATAATTAACCATTCTCTCTTTCTCTCTCTTTTTCTCTCCCTCTCGCTCTCTTTCAGACCCAGCAGCGGTGGATTTTGAGCAATATGAACTGTCCACTTTGGCTGATGCTCTGAGAAGTTACATTCAGGACTTGCCCTGCCCGCTCATCCCAGCTGTTGTGTACAGTGAGCTGGTCTACACTGCTCAGGGTAAGCTGACCGTATGGAGCTCAGCACAAAACATGTAAGCCAGACTTTTCCTGAAAAGTTTAGCTCCAATGTCCCTAAACACACCTAGCTTGATGAAAAGTGAGACCTTAATTAGCTTGCTCAAGGGTGTTTAGCTGGAGTTGAAGCTAAACTTTTCAGGACAGTGACCTTCTTTTAGAAAAAACAATAATAAAAAAATAGATTTAAACATTATATAAAGAATTATACAGTTGTCATTTAATTAGTTGGATACTATTTAAAGATGCACAAAGCAAAGTCTTCTCTTTACTGGCTTTAGTTTTTCTTTTTACTCTAGAAAATATGTCTTGTCACATATGTCGTTATTTAAACAATATACTTCAACAAATCTAGAAAGATTGTGTTCATAAATTAGTAATTAAGAACTTAAAGGGATAATTCACCCAAAAATGAGAACTCGAGAACTCTGTCACCATTTAATCGCCCTTGACTTGTTCCAATCTACAACAAGGGCTTGTCACTTCAGGTCCGAATAACAACACATGTGCGGTGACTTGCAGCAGTGAGGAGATTGTAAATAAAAAAGAATATAAGGATGATGCCAGAGTGGCTTTTTGGTTTCTTTTCTTGTGCATCCCAGGCACTAGCTCCCCATCTGATAGAGTTTTTAGCGTAGGGGTAATGTAGTCATCCAACTTCACAATTTGTAATGTTACAGTATATATTTAGATAATGATAGCTGGGTCCTTTACTTGAAAGCTCAGATTTGATTATCATAATTTCTTTTGTTTACAGAGTTTGAGGTTTACTGTATCATTATTATTCACACTTTAAATTTGCTTTGATTGTTCAGTATTCACACTTTACCATTGAACACACTTTGTAACATTTTATTGATCAAGTTTAAGAGTCTCTTTAGTTTATTGAGTTAAACTCTTGAGTTTGTTTTATTATAAATAGATCAGATATTTTGTTTAAATATTGTTGTTTTTGACTGTCAAGACTATTTGCCTTAGTAATGTTGGTCAAATAAAATAAAGTGGTTAAAAAACATCCTAATATTCCTAAATGTATTTTTAAAAATATTCAAAAATTATCAATATTGAATGATATAAAACTATTGTTTTTTTTTTTTTTTTTTGTGATTGTGATTTTATTTTTTACAATATTGTCCAGCACTAGTTTCAAATACTGTCAAAGTACAGTTTTCCCTTGGCTTAAGTACAGTCAAAGTTTACCAGCTTCCAGCATTCTTCATTATATCTTTTATTATATCTTCTTAATGGTGGCTTTTAAATTTTAGAAAAATTTGCTGATGCAATAGCTCTATGTGAGAAAAAGTGAATGAAATGGATCAGTCTGATAAAGCTGGACTCGCTGAAAAAATACAGTAGGAATCAAAAGAATGAACTGTTCATGAATCAAACAACATTGAACTGCATCTCTTTTAAACTGTAAACAAAGTAAGTGAAGGATGCCTGTAAATATGAAGTCAATACCGAAAGGTGTCACTTTTATGATTTTGCAGCCTTTTTATATTTTCTGTAAGCATCAATTTATTCTTCATAAGTGCCTTCCAGTTCAAAATAAAAGTCTTAAAGGTTTGAAATGGCATATGGGCAAGTTTAATAAAATGTCAGAAATGAAATGTGTAAATTCTCCTGAGTTAAAATGCAGAACTAAAATAGGTGAGTGGGTTTGTCCTCTTCAAAATATAAATGTTTTACTTTTCAGTGGGCAGAAAAAGGCTTCAGAGAGGCTTTGTGTGTGTGTGTGTGTGTGTGTGTGTGTGTGTGTGTGTGTGTGTGTGTGTGTGTGTGTGTGTGTGTGTGTGTGTGTGTGTGTGTGTATATGTGTGTGTGTGTGTGTGTGTGTGTATGTGTGTGTTTTAGTGGGGGCGCTACTGTGCCGGAGGGTATGTTCACACCATCTCTCTCTCTGACCTCGCTCTGCATTACACCCACTGAAAATGAAACAAGCAAAACACAGAGTCTGCATCATCTTTTAGACATGCTTGCTTGCTTAGAAGTGTTGGATGACTTAGTAAGGACAAACAGAATTATGTAAGCAACCTCGCCGAATAGTCCCGCTACATGTTTCGGTTGCCTGAGACTCCTTTTGCAGTTTAAAAACTTGCTAAATAAAGTTTAAGGAAATGAATTGCTAAATATCTAATTATATTACTTGTATAAATTCAACTTGTATTATCACATTTGCTTAAAAAAACTGTTTAGTTTTACTTTTATTTTACTTTGACAACTTTTTTATTTACTTTTAGGCCTTATTGGCCTTATGTGGATCAAAAATTAGACATCCCATTTTAGTGTCGGCATCAAATAAAAAGTACAAAAGGATTTTAAAAAAACATCAAAAGCATAGAATAGTATTACACTAAAGAGGTATAGTATAATGCTTCATTAACGCGTCAAATGCTGATTCGCGTGATGGGCAGAGCTTCTGTATGCCTAGTGACTCTAGCTTCGTTGCTAAATGGCTAACATTGATTTTATTGAGAAAATAGCTGTGTTTATGTGCTTTATGAAGGCTCAAAAACAGCGTAGATTCGTTTGGAGCCATGTCTGAGTCCACTAGATCCTTTCAGAGGTGCACCCAGCTTTGTGAGTTCATAAACTCCTCCAGAAACTGTACCTGGATGATAAAAGCTTTCATCGGTGCTTTCGACTGAGCCCAGTTGAGAAACTTGTCGGTGTAAATTGTCAGTGTCGGCAGGAGGATTTTCCCTGGGATACTTTTCCCTATCATAATTACTCCCATACAAAAGCAAGCTTCTGATGGGTTAACATGGTGCGAATGTCCCCTGAAGTTCAGATTTTCAAACTCTAAACTCAAAATGCTAAACTCATTCGTTTGCGAAACGTATCAATCGCGCTGCCTCATTCGCGCATATCGCACAGCAAAAGTCTATATGTATCTTTGCATTGACTTATCATGTAAATCACTCACGCTTGACGCTTCTTCCACATTACAGCTTTATTCATTACAGCTAGTTGTTTTTCAGTGGGAAGCTTCTAAAGAATATATTTGCTAAATTTGTTTAAGTTGTACAGAAAACGCTTTTTAAATATGGAGTACATGTCATCTTAATAACAACACACACACGCATTAATTTCTGTACATCACAATATATTTTGAAAGGTAAGAGTCCACAGAACAACATTCCATCAAACACATTTAGTCCACCAACACAATTGTGTTGAATTATGGATGGTTATTCCTTTCTTTATGTCTTTGTTTCAGCCGGAGACCTGTTCTTTACATTGTTTACTATGTATACTTACATCCAGAAACAGCATCTTTGTAGTAAAAAGCAAGTGGATGTCATAGCTTACAGTGTTACAAATAAAATGAGACCACGACCTGAATAAAAAGTTAAAGTATTTGTCACTACAATCTAAACAAAGCAGTCCAGTGTTTTGGCGTTCTACATATGCATATTTGTCAGTCACTTACTTCCTAGCTCCTAGTTTGACTGATAGAGAATTTAGCCAATGGCTGCATGATTCTTTCGACATATGGTGACGTTGTTGTTTTATTGCACTCTCAGCACTGTCACTGGTACAATGGGCTGTCAATCATTATGAAGGGGACACGTGATTAGCACTGTCGGCTCACAGCAAGAAGGTCACTGGTTTGAGTCCTGGCTGGGTCAGTTGGCATTTATTTTTGGAGTTTGCATGTTCTGTGAATTGAATAAATTAAATTGGCCATGGTGTATGTGTGTGAATGAGCGTGTATGGATGTTTCCCAGAACTGGGTTGCAGCTGAAAGGGTATCCACTGTGTAAAACATATGCTGGTAAAGTTGGTGGTTAATTCCGCTGTAGCGATCCCTGATGAATAAAGGGACTAAACCAAAGGAAAATGAATGAATGAAGATATTTAACTGAAAACCAACACCCATGTTCAAATATTTTACCAATGTGTTTCTTAATTTGTTGCTTATTTCTATGACACAACCTCCATTCTACTTTGTGACTAAATATAAACTCTTAAATGACGTTTACAGCTTGTTCAAACTACTTATTTAAAATGAGTTGAAACAACACGATTCTTAAGTTTTTGGGGGGGACAACTTGATTGTTTAATGTTCAATCCACTTAAATTACCATGATGTTAACTTAATCGATTTGTGTTTGGACAAAATGAAGGAAATTTCTGAAACTGCATTTTTTACAGTGTATTTCTCTGTGGTTTCCACCTTTGGTCTGCAATCTCCTCAAAAACATTAACTATTCATTTACTTCATAATGTCTTGATTGATTTCAGGATTGGGCCCACAGAGTAGTAAGTCTAATTGCACTTTAATTAGTTCCATTTAGATTGTGCAGCAGGAACATGTTTGATTGATCTGCCTCTGCACCTAATAATTTAATTTTCTATCTTCAGTTATGCCAGCACTGTTATGTGAGCTACTTTAAATGAAATTCCTTTTAATGGAAGAAACTTATATTAGTTTTGTGATGCAGTGAGCAGAAATCAAGGCAATGACTCCATATAATACACTTGGGGTTATAAAACATTTTGTGTCTTCAAATCGTATAGTGCTAAGTCACTGTAAAAAGTGCCATATGGCATATTCAGCATTTGTGCATCAACCGTTCTAAGTAATCAATGGTCTATTATGGCAAATAAGCTTTTCTGGAAAGTCCCTTTGTCATGGGGTGCTCTTAACAATGCCAAATCCCACCTCCCTGTTCTCTGGATGAAATCCATTCGATTGTGAAATCAGGCTTGCTTTTTTGGATATCCTTAATTTAATCAGCAAACCAATTTGTGCTATTAGATCCAGTTTTTAAATACCACGTAATCTAGAGTTTTATAATGCATGACTTGAGGGTTATAAAACTGAATTCAATTTGAGCTTCAAATCTAACATAAAACACACTTTTTGACAAACTTGTGGATCAAGATTTTTGGATGTTATTCTGCTCTCCAAGGATTTTTATTTTTATTTTTTTTTTACAAAAAGACATTAAAAACAAACAAACAACAACAACAACA